TCAGAATTGGATAATTAAGGAAATATGGAAACCACACACCCCACCACAAGTTTGAAAGACAGGTCCACATTTTAGTTCGTCCCTACAAATTACTTCCATTTGATCTGGTTTCAGCCTGTTTGACAGACTGAGGTTTCATTATGTTTTCCAGTTTTTGTATAAATTGGAAATGGCATATTAGACTCTAAAAAACTTGCACAGAGGGAGGAAAGTACAAATTCTTGGAAAACACTTTAACGATGGGATTGGGCAGACTAATAATATTTTTCTTTAGAGCAGAAAATGTATGAATATTGTTAAAATTTCTGACTTTTGACATGGTCTTAGAGTGGGCATCATACAAGACAAAGAATAAAAGTACATATATATTAAAAGTTTAACCTAATTGTCCAAACGTGTGTTGAGTTTTTAAACATGCAAAAGTTAGAAATATACTTACCAGGAGAATATTCGCTGCTGGCCATGTTTGTCTTTGACAGGACTGTGAGCTGCTGATGTCTTGATGTCTATTTAAAGAAGAGTTTCACTTTCTGCTGCTTTATGTCTGCTCTGAGTCTCCTCCTTCTATTTCTGTCCAATCAGGTCCTCCTCTCAGAGTCTCAACCTGAGATGGACTTACCCCCAGACATCCAGCCAGCAGGCCGTCAGCAGATCACTCGTCTTTCATTTCAGTGGGAAAACGGGGACAACTCTCAAATTCAGCCTGCTGGAGGAGGTGCCGAGTCACAGGTACATCCTGTCTACATCCTGGTGTCTCCGTTAGTGGTTGGAGGGAGATTGGGATTGTCAACCCACCTGGAAAAAATCGCACAGTTTTACTGAACATTCCCTTCAAATATGTCTCTTTTTGCAAAGACTCAGGTTCTCGGTAATCCTGCAAACGTCACCATCCGAGAGCCAAACAACAGGTGTCACCAGCAGAGGATTTTAAAGCATCACTTACAAGAGAAATACAAAAAGTGAGTGTTTATTGAGTCAAAGAGACAAAAGAAACAGATGACAGTTAAATGATCCCACTTTATTTCAGAGGTTTGGTTTTCATGC